TTGTCATTTGGGAGTTGTAACTGCTGGGATTTATAGGTCACCTATATTCAAAGAGCATTCTGGACTCCACCAGCGATGGAATTGAACCACACTTGGCATACAGGAATCTCCTGACCATCAGAAAATATTGGAAAGGTTTGGTGGGCCATTGACCTTCAGTTTTGGAGTTGTAGTTCACCTACATCCAGAGACCACTACAGACTCAAACAATGATGGATCTGGACCACACTTGGCACAAGCACTCAATACACCGAAATATGAACACAGATGGAGTTTGGGGGAAATAGACCTTGACATTTGGGAGTTTTCGTTACTGGGATTTATGGTTCACCTGCAATCAAATAGCATTCTTAACCCCACAAATGACAGAATCAGGGCAAACTTCCCACACAGAACCCCCATGACCAACAGAAAATACTTGAGGCCATCCAATCCAGCTCCCTTCATCGGGGCAAGAAAATGTAATCAGAGTCCTCCTCACAAAGACCCATCCAGCCATAGACATAGATAGATAGATAGATAGATAGATAGATAGATAGATAGATATGATTCACACACAGAGATATAGTATCATAGATTTGAAACGGACCCTTAAAGAAGGACAACTATATGTTCCATGTTCCAGGGTGGGCAAATCAGGCACTCTCCACATCAACACTGACAAAGAAACAGCCAGAAATACTGTTTACCCACAAGCAGAAAGAAATTACATATATTAGAAACCAACACTTTCTCATTACTTTATTTGCCAGATCAACAGACTGGGCCACAGCAACACGTGGCAGGGGACAGCTAGTTAGATCATAAAATTAATTACAATTGTGGTGGAGGGATCTTTTTTTGGTTCTCTTCATGTGTTCTGAAATACTCTGGCTCATAGAGGTCATTGAATCAATCACTTCGCTGCTTCACTGAGCCCAATTCCCCTAAAGCCCCAGCCAATGATTTCAGTAGAATTGGTGTCATTCAGTGTGATAGCTTGCAGTGTCATCCCCATGGACCTCCTTCTGTACCGGACCAGACCACAATATTGCAAGAAAAACACCAACACATTTGAGAAAATTGGCAGTTATTAAAAGACCAGCGATAAAAACAAGTGTGTGCCTATAACATATGCAGATGAAACTATATGATTCAAAGTATCATTGTAATGAGAGCTCTTTACAAGTGAATTAGCTTTATAGGCATATTGACACATTACTTGCAAGCTGGGTTGATAAAAATGTTTTATACATCCAACTAGAAATCTTTTAAAAATAAAAAATATATTTCTGGCGTGGTAACAGTAATTCAACATACATTTCTGGTAAAACACTACTACAAATTGTTTATAGGCAATCATTTTGGTATTATTTGCCTTGAAGATGACATATGAGTCACAGGACCAACTAGTTACCGCCTGATATTAAACTCCAATGTTAAACTCTGCTGATGTTAAAACTCACACATGTATATGGCTTCTATTCATAGTCAACTATCATTAGAGACTTCCTGTAAAAAAAACCCTGAACATTCTAAGTTCGTGATTGTTTTGAACTCTTATAGGAGTACAAGATCTCAAGTCAAGCATACCTGCTCAAAGTACGGCATCATACCTTTTAATTGCAACTGGCCAAATACCAGATATTGTTGGGCCAAACGGAAGGCCTTATGTGAATGCCTGAGCGCATTTATCATTCAGGAAGTATTCAGAAGAGGAAGCAGCATCCTGTCCCTATGAAAAATGCTGAAACCCGGATATGAATGCTTGAACATTAAGCCACTTCTTGTTTGCAGGAACTCCTCCAATGAATAAATTTAGTACAGGAGGTTCAAAAGGATATTTGTCGTTGTTAACAAAAAGAACTCAGTTGAGCATTTCATTTTCTCTGCTCCAAGAACACTTCATTACATGTAAGAGAAATGGTAGCAAAAACAGCTATGTCTGTGACTGAGGTTAAGGATGCAAGAAAGAGGTAACAAATAAGCAGATGTCTTCCAGCCCTATAGAGCAAAATCATAATGGAAAGAGCTGGTACCCAAAATGATAAATGATTTAAGTGAGATAGACATAACTACAGTTAAATACTGTAGATGGTGACAAAGTTAATACCAGTGGAGAAAGGCAGAATTACCATTCTCTGCTGTTAAAGGCTAGAGACTTAGGCCGCTTCCACACTATCAGTGTAATGTCAGTATATTTAATGTACAAGTTTAAAATGTCCATGCTGCTAGCTGTGAAAGAGTTAAGTTGTGGAGCATTATGAAGCATGTGTGGAACAGACAAGGAAGATGTTGCAATAGACTAGGAGGCTGGACACTGAATCAACCAGGTGTTAACAGTGGGGTATAAATATAGCAGACACCATTTGTTTTTGCTCTTGGCTCTTCTCCCCTTGCATCTGACCATACTAACGAGTAAGTGTTAATGCAATGAATGAAATGTAAATAAAGATAAGAGCCACTACTAAAGCAGAAACAACTTTGGCTGAAGTCAGTTAATTGGATGGTAAGCAAGTTGGCCAGCAAATTGCAGATACACACTACTCTGCATCCCAGGATCTGATCCCAGATCATCTGTTTTGAACTGTATTATTTGAGTCTCCACTGCCAGATAATCTGGAATAAGAAATCTGAGATCAGATCCTGGGATATAGGGACAGTGTGGAAGGGGCCCTTAAAAGGCATACATTCCTGGAGACAGGCTGAGGAGTACATAACGTACTGTTCTTTCTATGGCCATTCATCACTAGTGCCCTCATTTACCATTTTTAAGTCTGCCCACCCCACTCCCAGGGCTACCCAAATCCACAGAGGAAATCCTAGTATTCAGGGGAGCACCACTGAAACTCTCGCACATCCTGGTTCTATTGTGATGACAGCTTTAATTATATGAAGATCAGTGACGTGTAGTAGTGAAGGCTTCTTTTGAAAAAATTAAAATCTGTATTTCAAAATGTATTTAGGAGCCAAGTAACAAAGACAAATATTGATGCTTCACAGAAGTCCTGCAGTATAGTACAAGATGGAGTTTATTTTTTGAATTCAGTTGTAAAGGTCCCTTTTGAAACAAAAAGATACGAACACAATTTAAACAGAACATCAACCTATAGTTCAACACTTTCTTCATCCATCTTAATTTTACCAAAAAATCACAAAAGTAATAAGGTTACAAAGTCCTGCAGTGCACGTGTAGATATTCTGCATATACAAACAATTTATTCAATCTTCAAACAATATATTTCCATCACTTTTGGCTTAAAAATAAAACAACATAGCCTTTGCACTAGGCTGGAAATTCACAACATGTCAACAGTTTAAAGCAATGTGTTTCTCTTTTTTTAAAAAAAAAAATGAGAAGAACCTCAAAAATATATGCATATGTAGCAAAACAAAGCTGAAATATATTGACCAGACATTTCAACAAACAGTTTCTGTAATTCACATACACAGTATAACAGTGTCAGCATGCTATTCTGTGAACTATGGTAAAATATCATGCTTACTTGCAATGAAACAAAAGGAAAAGATCTCCAGGTTCTTCTAACAGTTTTATACTAGCGAACCACACAGTATGATGTGGTTTGAGCCATCTAAATGCTAATTTAAGCAGTAAATTTGCTAATATTAAAAAGAAAATGCACTTCCCTTTTGAAAAGTAAGCAAAAAGATTATGTCAGATGTTTTTATTATCACCACCCATTCTTTGCATAGTCATAGCTGGCACTGATATTGCTTACCATAGTCTCGACAGAAGATATTAAACCAGAGAATTTGCACTGTGCTAATATAAAAAACTTGAACTTTGCTCTACAGAGTTTAAGTTTAGAACATCTTAAAGTGGAAACGAGTTCTAGAGTGCTTATAGTTTAGAAATAAAAAAGTAAAAAACTAGAACTTGTCATTAAAAAAAGAACAATCAATTTGTAAAAGCACCTATTCGTAAATCTAATGAGTCCTGTGCATGCAAAATTAGAAGCATAAGGCTGTCAAGCATCAAAGTTTTTAATCTGTAAAAAAAAAATCACTTGTTGCCTCCTTCAAGATGATATCTCCCCCTAACAAATTACCTTATGAAGTAGTAAAGTTTCAAAATATGTGTGACAACCACAAAATTGTGATATTGACAAGCTTAGGAACCATGATAAAGATACATTGTACCTAGGACAGTACTGTCATATTTCTGTGCCACTTTAACAGAATTGGAATGCTCAACAACACTGTTAAGTTCAGGGAAGCTTTCGGCAGTGTCCCCAAAACCGTGGTAATGTCCGTAGTGCAATGTATCCCCCAGGTCATCCACCCAGGAGGGCCTGCTTGACACAAGGCTGCTTGGGCTCCCGTTGAGGTGCAAAGAGCCACACATATCAGAAGCAGCACTCTGGGCCTTCTCTGGTTCCTCAACAACATTATGGCCCACACTGACAGCATGTTTATGAGCAGAGGCTAGCGCATTAGGTACTATCAATGTTAGGCATTCTTCGCCCCTGGCACTCAATCCATTGAGCTGAGCTGGGGAAGTGAAGTCCACATGTCCATTGATGGTATGTCCATTTGCCAATGCATTCAATATGGAGTTACTGCCATTCATATCTGCATCAAGAAATAGACCTGTCACTAGAAATCAAATCAAGCAGAATAAAAAAAGCCATCTCTACTATGCTTCACTTCTTTATAAATTTGTCAAAGCAAGCTTGTACCAGAGCAGACGCACAGGCCTTAATTCATGGGCTCATACAGTATATATTTAAACTTTCCCCTTGACATTAAGTCTAGTTGTGTCCGATTCTGAGGGGTGGTGTTCATCTCCATGTCTAAGCCAAAGAGCCAGCCTTGTCTGTAGATGCCTTCGAGGTAATGTGGCCGGCATGACTGAATGGAGCGCCGTTACCTTCCTGCTGGAGCAGTACCTATTGATCTACTCACATTTGCATGTTTTCAAACTGCTAGGTTATCAGAAGCTAGGGCTAATAGAAGGAGCTCACCCCGATCCCGGGATTCAAACCACCGACCTTTCAGTCAGCAGGTTTAACCACTGTGCCACCAGGGGCTCCTCTATATATTAAAAAATCCTCTTTCTGCTTAACAAAGGCTGAGAAGCAACTTCTGCAAGTCAGATTCCTATCTAAAAGTCTAATCTAAATGTATATATCACTAGGAAAAGGTATTGGATAGTTAATAAGGCCACAATTCTATACAAACTTGTTCAAGGCTCGATTGAACGCAGTGGAGTTTATGTTAAGAAAAGAGATCTAGAAACGGCTTGTATATACATGTCCCACAAAAATTATTAAGATGAATTGATCATTGTAAACCGCAAGCAGTATTTCTGACAACGGAACACATAAAATAAATGCTAGTTGAATTTATAAACTAAGATATGTAAAAGCTTGTAGTAGCTTGAATAAAAACTAAATAGATTACATTTGGGATGTCAGAATGGTGCAAATATTAATTTTAGGGTTTTAGATGAACGTACAGTAAGCAGGCATTACAAAAAGCCTTATGCAAATGCAAGAATGATTATGCCACATGTCTGGTGACCAGTGATTATTTTATATCAACTTTTATTTAAACTATAAAATAGAATGAATACGTTACATACTGTCAATTTAAGTTTTAAGAATCTATTCCTAAAAACAGTGTACCTTAGCCTGTAGGAAATTCCCAGGAGTCTACTTTTAGAAATACAATGTAGTACAATAAATATTTTTTTCTTTAAAAGAAAAGAAAAAAAAACTGTATGTAATGGGACTAGAAGCAGCAGGATCTAGAGTATTTTTGGATTAAAAATAACTTTTTGCTTTGTTACATTAAATTGGACACAGAACATTTTTCACTCTTTCTAGGTTTCTTCAAACATTAGTTACCGACTGCCTGTTGTTTCATGGTACTATAAACATCTGTTTGCAGAAAGAAAAGCTAAACAAACAGGAGCTTCACTCAATGAGTTATTACATCCTGTAAATCCTGGCACAGCTACTACTTAGGTTTACCTCTCAAAACTCCTATGCAAGAAACAGTTTGTTCAAAGTTTCTGGTATTTAGAAGAGAAACTAACCACCAAAGAAGCTTCAACTGTTTTGCACAATATGATACACAAGCAGAGCTCTAGTACATCATTTTCATTTGATCAACATGCAGTAACATGCTGCATGTTGATCATGTTTTGCAAACAGCCATTTGATCAATCTATAAAATAGAGAATGTCTGCTTCACAGCTCTATTCAGAGTTACTTTGCCTCATTACAAGCAATCTTTTCTTGTAATATTTTATATACTGGCAAAGTGAGAAAGGTATTCAAATAATATAATATGACAATATTTTATCTCAATGTGTTTACAGAGGACAGCCACATTTGCAAGGAATGTTAAGCCAGGATTCTGGAGACTCCTGGTTTGTTATGCATTTGTTTCATGTTGGTGCACACAGTCTGTTTGCTCATCCATCTTCCAACCATTAAAACGAAACAGAAACTGAACTACTAAGTAGCTGTACTTTTGACAAGCCATGATGTGTATGTAGTACATGGTTGTTCTTGGTTAATGATGTGCGGATTACATGGGGTCAGACTGTTCAAGCATCAGAATAACTGTTCAATTCCTGGTTGGTTTAGTCACTTAGGCTAATAATAGAAGGCAAGGATGAACAAACAGGCACCGCATACACAAAAGCCCAGTTCATTCACAATCAGTCAGGATTCTGGAAGCCTGGCTTACTGTTCTTGACAACATGGTAAACCATCCAAGACAAATCATAAGGAAGCAATTGCTTCCTTATTGACATTTGTATAATATTCTTACTAATACAAATAAAATTTCCTGTTCCTTTGATTATGTTGAAATCAGTTCGGCAACGCAATACAAAAAGTTACAATTAGTTCTCCATTTTAAAAATATTAAGATATGCTTAAGCAGCAATCTCTCTAAATTTCATTTTGATTAATGTTTCTATACAAGATAACATTAATCGTGTGACTTTCAGCCACATTAAAAAATGCTTACATTTTCACTGGAAGCAGTAAGAAGAGCTTTTTAGTAACTGCAGTGCAGGAAGAGCACCTTTCATCAGGGTCACAGACTGACAGATAAAGTTTAACTCTCCTCTTATTACATGCTGTGGCTCTAATGAAAACAGGCACCACTGACCATCGATTAAATTTTTAAAAAAAATCTTATTGAGCTGTATGGGTCAATAAAGATCCTTGTGTGCATGTAGGTGGAAATAAAGATAAAGATTATGCTTTGCATAGATATAGAAAGTCTTTAAAAACAGTTGAAAATTGGAAGTCATCCATTATACTATAAAATATTAATTTGGATGAATGGTAGAGATATCATTTCAATACACACAAGCTAGCCCTGGGATAATGTTAGTAGCATTTGCAAAGCTAATTTTGCAATTTTATAATCTGATCAGGCATTGCTATTGCCTTTTTCTTTTATGCACAATATTTTTCATTTATCCAACAATTCTTTTAAGATCAAGGAACACACGACTGAACTGCAGAGGCCTGCAATAATATATTTAGATCTGTAATTACATTTTTTTTTGTCTTATACCTGATAATTTTGCTAGTTAAAATGTCTTTAGGTATGTTAGCAATACAATAGTTTTGGGACAAGTGCAACAAAATAAAGTTAGAAATAAAATGCATATTGATTCTTGCAACGACAAGGTGTTTGCATGGCAGAAACTGTGTAAATTTCAATCTCTTTGGGTCCAACAGAATTACTCTTCAATTTAGTATCTTCAACCATTTGAATGTTGTTGTAGTTAACAGGAAACTCTCCATTCCCACCTGATAGAACAGTAAACTCTCTATCAACATGCATATTGTCAGCATTGTCTTCATTTCCTCCATTTGTCATTGGTATTAAGCCACCGAAACACTGACCTGTTTTTTTAAAAAAAGTAATAGAGACTGATGAATATTTTACATATTGGCACAACTTTTCATGCAATTTTCTAAGGACATTCACAATAACTCCTAAAATAACAACACACTGCCTGTCTAGAAACTGAAGAATATCAAGGGTACATTAAGCAAGCTTTATGCTGCTTATTTAACATTTAATCCTGATTAAAACACAAAAGGAACCCTAAAAGTGCATTTAAACTGACTGTTTAGGTCAGTGTGCGTCAGATCAGTCTGCGGACGTCTACGAAAATACATAAACTGGTTGGATTTAACTTGGGGAAAGGCGCTTAATGAGACTGCACCCCTGGTTAAAAAAAAGGTCACACCAGAATTCGGGCTTTCCTGTGCGTGGGACGTGCAAACACCCACACCTGATTCTTATGCAGAATTGGAGGTGGGTTGCTTGATAGCAATCTCACACTCCGCATACTCAGGTGGCCCTGGAGATATGAAATGGCAGTTCCTTCCTGCCCTATTCCACCCCTTTTTGTCAGATAGAGGGAAAATGCAACTACTGTACTTCTTTTTATGGAGTTCTTTCTGGTCCTTCCTCTCAAGCTCCTTCGCAGTCATATGGCACAAAACCAGGAAGAAGAAATGCATAAAATCTGGTAGGTGCATCTTTTCTCTGTCTAGTTGTCAAAAAAGAGGTGGAAGGGTAGAAATTAGGCTCATGCCCAATAGTACTAAACTAGGTTTAGTGTAACTAGGTTGTTGGTTCACTACTGTGTGCAAGGTGGCTCTGCGCACCTCTCTCAGGCCATGTGGGCTGCAACATGCATTTTGCATGACAGCTCCAACCCACATTATACGTATGTGCAGAACTGGCTTTAAATTCCTGCTATGTAAAGGCAGTCACATGCCAAGAATTTCATATTACAAATTAACCACACTTCTTCATCTTATAGTTTTGATGGTTTTAATCTATTATTACTTGTTGTTAATTTAATTTGTTGTTTTGATTTTTGAGGCATTGAATTTTTGCTACTGATTATGTTGTGAACTTCTTCTGAGTCCCCCGCTGGGGTGAGAAAAGCAGTATGTAAGTGAAGTAAATAAATAAACAAATAAATAGCTCAAAAATGTGGTTCAAAAACAGAAACAGGAAGGGCTGGTAGAGGGGGAATGTTTACCACGACTTAGTTTTAGCAGTGACCCACAATTCCCCATTTTGGTTCAAGTCACCTCTTCATTTTAAAAATGTATTAAAACAGATAAATAAATACATCTAAAGTGATAGAAGCACGTCTCACCTTCAGTCCTGGCCTTCTTCATTAGAATACTGCCTGTATCTTCAAAGGCTCTCTTTCGATTTATGCTTCTATTGAGCAAGGTAGGGCTCATATTCTGATGGACCCCATTTGAGGTACCATTGTAACAGAAATTGTTCAGTGGACAGTTCTGGAGGTTCGAGAGCAACTGAGCACATTCCTGGAAGCCCTGGGTATGTGCAAGGTCTGCTGGTGTCAGGCCACTGGCATTTCTCAAGCTGCACAATACAAATATACTGAATTATACCCTGTAACAAAAACTGGTGGCTTCTGTTGATTTTACTAAGGAGATGAGATATAATTTTGCAATGTCCATGAAGGACTAGTAAATTATCTTATTTAATTAACTAATCTCTTAGTATATATCTGCATTCTGAGCAAGGTTTGGGAAGCAGTACAATTAAGAATCATTATGTGCCATAAAAAGGAAAAGTTTCCTATTTAAGTGCTTGAAATGGCTATAATGTCTTGCCTGCAGTCTGAAGCAACTAACTTTTACACACACTTCAGACTTTTGATCCAAATCCTATCATCTATTAATTAATCTGTGAAAAAGGAAATATCTGAAAAGAATAAATACTCAAAACAATTATTCTAGAATACATAGCATTCTAGAATCTAACATCACTCAAATACATTACTGTCCTTCATAACGATATAAAGTTGGTATGCATGTGTAATGAATAATTTACATATATATCCACATACAGCCCTTTGTTTAATTATTCCTTATGTTTTTGTTTAAAACTTAGCGCTGAATTCAAAGTTTGTGACATTATAAGTAGTGGAGTATCACCTGTTATTTTAACCCATGATCATGGGAAGATAATACCATCAGACTTTAAGCCCCTTAAACTGAAAACAAGACATAATCTACACACCATAAGTGATGCTACTTGCTATCTTTGAATAGGTTGATGAACTGATTAAGCAAGAATGCAGAGAATGAATACAGCCAAACTGTTTGATGCAAGTATCTCTTCTTATATCAATTCAGGGTACAAAGAAGAAAATTTCAAGAGCACGCACTGTATTAGATGTTACACTTTAAGACTTGTTGCTATTCTCATAATTGTCTAAAGAAATGTTTTTTTAAAAAATAAGCATTCTTCAGTTTTGCAGACATGGACTTTCTCCAGAAAATGATGTACTCAGATGACCTAAGATTTCAGATGGAAGTAAAATAGTATTTCACCTGACAACATCCATTTGAAAAGCTTTACATTGTAGTATTTGAGAAAAAGCAAAGGTATTTTTTAATGGAAAAGGCTATCTGAGCACAGAGATGAAATTGGCACAAGGCTCAATGGAGCCCTCTTCCCTTTATGCCAGTGCTTTGTTAATGGGAGATCTGCCCACGATCCAAAATACATAGTATCTAGCTTTACTCCCAAAGGTCCAAGTTACTGCTTCAACAAAGAGAAAAAGTTTCACGTGATCCTATATGATAAAGAGTTGCAAATGCAGGGATAATTATGGTAATATATTCTTACTATATTGTACTGAAGATTGCACGGATACTAGAAGCCATTCAGAAAGAGAATGCTAAAATTTAGATGGGAATATCAAGAAGAGATAATAAAAACTTATAAAGATTGAAGAACATGTTCTTATACAGAGCAGAACCTCTTACACTTTTAAATCACAGATGAAACTTGATTCACTTGATTCCACACATTTTTAAAAGATTATGTTAAAGCTTTGAATATGAAACTATCACTGAATAAATACTTAACAATTCTTTACAAATATTACATCTCAAGGATTCAAACATTTTCAAAAATGTATTTCAGAAATCCACAGTTGCATTAATTTGACTTGGAATGGCAAAGAAAAGGCAGCACAAGGAACTGTATACTTGAAGGGAAAGAAGCATAACAAAAAGAAAGAGAATAGAAAAGGAATTGTATGCTTAGCGAGAAGGAAGCATAACAAATAGAATAAATCTTCTAATCTTTTAAGAAAAGTTTCCAGTTAGTCAGACACCTCCTATATCCAAAAGGAGAATAATGATCTAATCAGGTCTTTCTCAAAGATTCTCTTTCTCGTAATCACATCTATAAACATTCTTATTTTGTATTAAGGAAGCAAGTATATTATGCAACCAGGAAAATTAGTAAAATATCTTAAAATTATGAGAAATTGATCTTTTTGCAAAGAATCAACAAGAGTTCCTTCAAGAACAAAACTGCAAAGAGGTTGATTTATTTCCACAGAATCGTGGCATCTTGTTTTAGCCTATTCATAATAAGAAATGAAAATGAAAAAAGTCAAAAATATTGAATAATACAGTGGGTTGTTCTAGGTTCCTCATTTTTGCAAAAGACTTACGAAGACCGTATATATACCCATATTGTAATGTATATACCAATGGTTCCCATCTGTATTAAATTGCTAGGGCCAAATATCAATTCAATTTAGAAAGACTTCATACTAATTATTCAAAAATTTGCTTTAGAAAAATTAAATTAAAAATTACATCTTTTTAAAAAGATGTTAAATGACCCCAGTTTGGGGGGAGGGGGGCTTGAATAAAATACTGTAACGTAAAATCATGATAAAGAAGTTCAGGTTTTGTGGAGCTTTGATATGGGCCAAGACTGGTAGAAATATGTAGTAAAGACCTCAATTAAAAGAAGTGATTAAGCCTTTTGATTTTATTGGTCAAGAATAACAATTTTATATTATGGGAAATTATGCTTTTTAAAAGCCTTATGAAGTTTGATACATATATAGACCACCAATCTATATGAAATACTGCAAAAATGAAATGGAAAATACAGTGAAAAGAATTCATTAACTTCTATGGAAATTACTGTAGCACTGACACATTTAAAGAGATCACGGTATAATAGTGCAACTAGTGAAATTATCTGAAATTAGTACTTTAGGCTAACCTAGCTCAGACTGACTTCTACTACTGCATTTATAAATAGAGGATCTTGTGCAATCTTTACAAAACAACATTTTGCAGTCGTGAATAGAAGAAACTTACAACTAAGAATAGCTGAAGGCATATTGATATCAAAGAGTTCATCAAACTAAAATGCCAGAAATTAAGTAGATTTGTTTGAGAAGGGGAACATCTTTTCAAAGAGATACATCATTTATATAGATAGATAGATAGATAGATAGATAGATAGATAGATAGATAGATAGATAGATAGATAGAGATATATAAACTCTTCAACTGGTAATCCAAATGGTTGTGTCTCAACGTATTTGTACCTGTTTACTATATATTATTATATTTCATCTGAGTTAAATGCTTCACTTTCTGAAGATGCTTACTGCACTGAGGGCAATATTCAGAGCAGCCTTTTCCTCCTCTGCCTCATCCATATTCCTCTTAGACAATGTGCTGCTCCCATCGTCGTCTTTACTATATTTAGTTTTGATTAGTAATCTTCTCATCTGTGGATGAGATATTATCGTTATGTTGTTTTACATTGTTTTATGCTGTCTTAATTATTTTTGCTTTGTTTTAATTGTATTCTGCCTTGGACCCCATGTAAGCTGACCTGAGTCCCTTCAGGGAGATGGAGGCAGGGTAGAAAAATAAAGTTCTTCTTCTTCTTCTTTCACACTTCTGCTTTAAGTTTCCACTTAGTTATGTCAGCATAACATCTATTCTAAGACCATAATTCATTTGAGACTATAACTTTATTATAAAGTATGGCCAAGTAGCAATTTTTAAGAATGTAAGCTTTCAATGTTTTCAGAAAACAAATTCATTAGCAGAATGTTTTCCCAGGAAAATTATCAAGCAGATATTCCTGGACTACAATAGGATCTGAACCTTATCCTAAAAGTAATTTTAGTGCCTTCAGGCTTCTCTCCGTTGAGTAAAAGTTTCTCCTTTCAATAATTATTAGCTTTTTAAAGACAACTACAAAGGCATTAAGTAATATTTCAAAAGGTATCTCTTAAGAATTTTATAAATAGGTAAAGTGTGGTAAAAAGTTTTCTTTTTTGCCAATTTTCTGAGCCAATGGATCTTTCCTTTGTTGTGATATTGTTCCTGGACTTTGGGGGGGGGGGGGGGGGGAAGAAGGAAAAGGCAAGATTGCTTTCATTCTCAAATGGGGGTTGAAAACTTGAATATATCATCCACTTATAATGTCACACACTTTGAATAAAAAATACAGCTACGCAAAACTCTACTATTTTACAAACAAGGGTACATTTATATAGATAACACCCTAGAATAATTAGAACAATTGCCACTGCATTTACAGCTTAAAATGTTTTTCACTAATGCCATGAGACAGTCTAAAATAATAAAAAGTTCTTAATGTAATATGCCCATTTAAAATACTCAAAATGTAATATATTGTTAGTTTACATATTAAAAATAGATACTGTAATTAGGGTAAGCAAAAGCATGCAAATCTATATATTCTATATCTGAATTCCTAGATTAGCATTAAAACCAATCACCGCAACAAATACCTCAACAGTATGCCTTGTGTGCAGAAAGGAAGCGATACTGAACATTCAATGCCACAACTGTAAGGTTTTCGGAGAAGCACCTGTGGCAGTTTCAGCAGTTTCTATATGGAATGCTCCCCCTTTCTAGGATTACTTGAAAAAATCAAGTCAATTCGAATTACGTAGCTGTAAAACATTGACATGTGTAGTTTTTATAGTTTCAGAATCTTCTCTTTTGATTTAAAAAACGGGCAATGGTGCATAAAACAGGAAACTTATATCATAAGGGATCACATATTTGCAGGCAACATTGAGATTAAAAGTTATATTAACATACATAACGTGCAGTAGCACATAATTTACTATCATGTGACCACCTTAACAATGAGGCAGTGCGCCTGACTCAAGCACGGACTCTCAAGCACGGATTTTCATCCTGAAGCTCATTGTAATCCTGTCAGTTCTCTGAAACGCAAACATGATAGGTACTAGAAACAAATGGACAATTCATGGCTTCTGATACTTTAAAAAATTTGGTAAATGTCACGTAAAAAAATAATTATCAACTATGCCTACATGAAAAAGAAGCTAATACATGGGATTAAATATTAAACTGCTGCTACAGTATCTCTGAAGAATGGTATTTTCATAGATTCTCAAATATCAGACTAAAGCTATAAAGCTAGACTTTCAAAATACTAAACTGAAAGTTTTAACCCTTTGGCATCCAAAAGTAGAAAGCACAACAAAGTGATCTTGAGATTGCTACCAAGTTCTGAAAAACAAA